CCAAGTAAGCAATGCCGCGTTATCAAATAATAACAAGGTATACTAGCACTGAGGCTGGTCTTTATATCTCAGTATATAGAAAAGTATAACATATGTATGACCAATCCGAAGACGAGCAATCACAACATAATCTTTGCACCTGACTCCGTACCATGTAATATGTTACATAACTGTACTCTAGTAAAATTGTATACCGCATTTAATTGTTTGTTTTGTTATGACATTATGTGGAACGGGGTTGCTATTTCTATGGGCAATAATAACGTTATAATAGACTTCATTTATAATACAGGTACTATATCGTTTTTATTAGTTGTTAAAGGGATGTTACAGTGCAAAAGTAAATAATTTGGCCTTAGGCAGAATACGGCAAAAATGTATTTATCGATATTCAAAACTGACCAATATATATTTCTTCAATATATATTTTTCAAGATTACCTATGTTGGCAAGCTAAGCCGATCGTTTCATTGCAATTGACAGCTTCCATAATTCCAATGTGCAACTTGCGGTCGTCTTTGACAGTTGTCCAGTTTTAATGCATACTCATACAGAGATTTGTGTTACTTGTTGTTGTGGCTTTGGTCGGTATCCAAGTGGGCAAATCTTGCGAATAAGGCACGCCTGTCCAGATCTTTCCGGATTGAAAATCGCGTCTGGCTGTAAAATGATTCATTATTTAATCGTCCGAAATCATTAAAATATTCTTTATATCAAATGAAGCAATTTCAGTCTAACGAGATGAACGATACAGACCCTATGGAGCAACACAGGAAATGTTAATAGAGCCGAATGAATAAAAAGCGATAAAAGGAGCAACATCAACAAACGAAAAAAGAGAATAACTGAAGTCTCAACGGGTGAAAAATGGCATAAGCTGTAAAATGTACAGTGCAACGTTCGTGTAGAATTTAAAAAAGGCTTTCTGAGTAAACAGAATAGCCCCAGTAGCAACAGTAGTAAGTAATGCAGTGATAATACAAGGACATCGGTTATATCTACTTGGTTGAGACGATACTGTATAACATAATAGATAGATGGTGGTTGTAATCAATGCCTGAAGATAAAACGCTTATTTGTAGCTTATCTTATATAACAAGAGACCGATAGGGCCTGTATCATTCACTAGGTTTAGGCCTCGAAAATGAAAAATATCAAAAGATATATATATATATATATCTTTCCCCTATTAGGCGCCATCCCGAATGAATGTTTCAGACCAACTTAAGACAAATCTTACTCCTACAAAACGAGAATAATAATGAATAATTTGGTATGTTACCCCTTTTGTGCACATATGACAAAGACCTTAAGAGTCCTCTCCACACAAGTATGCTTCAGATTATCCCTTCGTAGGCGAAGTATTATAAGGAACAGGGGAACACAAGGGACAGAGTTCTACCTTTATACGAAAAAAGAGATAGTCCTCTTCACCAAGACTTAATTTTTGGCAATACCCAACCATTCTTGCAAGAGACAGAAGATCAAAATCTGCTAAATATCCCTTATTGCTCAGGGAGCCGAGACCAACCGCGAATAAAAAATAGAGTCCCTCCACAAGAAAAGCATAAAATTCAAATTGGGATATTCTTCATACAGGAGGAGTATGATTATTTTGAGGAATCGTCTCTATTCCTCCTACTATGTCTCGCGCCTCACTCACTTATCGCAGAGACCTATCGTTAATGCAAAATTGTTTATGCCATCGTTGCGCAAAATCTAATCGATCCCCGTTTTAACCCTGCCTTCTATTCACTGGGACAAAGACCCACTTTTAATTCAAACTTTGTTGCCATTCCCCAAGAACGCTTTTGGCCAAAATCCATTCAGTCGTTCATGGTATGCAAAAAGCTTACCTGGCCCTTCAAGTGAGCTAAGATACTTAGATAGAACTAGAGACATGCTGAAATACTTAGATAGAACTAGAGACAGGCTAAAATAGTTAGATAGAAATAGAGGCAGGTTAATAATACTTAAATAGAACTAGAGGCAGGTTAATAATACTTAAATAGAACTAGACAGGCTAATTTACTTAGATAGAACTAGACAGGCTAAAATACTTAGATAGAACTAGACAGGCTAAAATACTTAGATAGAAATAGAGGCAGGTTAATAATACTTAAATAGAACTAGAGGCAGGTTAATAATACTTAAATAGAACTAGACAGGCTAATTTACTTAGATAGAACTAGACAGGCTAAAATACTTAGATAGAACTAGACAGGCTAAAATACTTAGAACTAGAGACAAGCTTAAAAAACTTAGACAGATCTAGAGACAATCTAGCTTACAAACTTGTCACTTGTGAAAAGTAAACGCTCATTGTTACTCACTGAGGATGGCTATTTGGAAATAAATCAACGCTACCATGCTCTGATAATTTGTCTCTGTATCCAACGTGAGAAGTTCGGCTCCAGTACTGGCACAGTGTTCCTGTAGAAGTAAAACAGCTATAACCAATAATGTAACTGTCTTTACATATAAAAAACCATTTTGGCTGTGTGATTTATTTAGTTTTCCTGGCGTACATTTGAAATAAAAAGGCTTTAGTTGTGATTGAAAAACAAGAGGCCCATGGGTCTTAATGGTCATCTGACATAAAATAGATTTCAAATTTTGAACTTGAGAAAAAGTCGAAAATGTGTTTTCAAGATGGCGGCCATGTTGGATTTTGGACCATCCCGAAATTAACAAACTTTAGTCAGGATCATGTCACGATCATTTCAGGCAGCTCTACGAGACATGTAGAACTTGATAAGAAGTTGAAAATGTTTACGACGGACGACGTTCGACGGACGACGCCGGACAAAAGGCGATCGCAATAGGTCATCAGACCCTTCGGTCGATGACCTAACAAAAGCAGAGAAAGTACAAGCATGTCAACATAACTATACTCCGAACTTAAAATTTATAAAACTAGGCCAAAATATGAACAAAAGAAAGATTTACACGGCGACTCCTGAAAAAGTACAAGGAGAATAAGACCACGTGTCTAGAATAGAACCAGCTACAGAATATTTCGATTGCAAAACAGGAGTAAAGAGTCATCTTAATTTGCAAACAACATTATCTGAAATGTCTAAAAAGTCCTTTTGACAGTTTTAACATGCACTTTGTATTCCGACCGACCAGTTTGTATTTTCATCAATCACCAATTTTATTTTAAAATTTAGACCCATAATATCACTGAGCAATATTAAACATAAGACACACAATTGAAAAACACCTTTCAGTACAAAGGAGTAGATGCACTTTGGCTCAAAATTGGCCTCAAAAAATCTTTTTTTTAATTGTTAGAAAATTCTTTAATCATGTACCCATTTGTGTTATTTAACAACTTATCAGTTGAAATGCAGATAAAGATAGGTTCATAACGCGTGTGATGACGTCACAAATTTCGCGGGAAAACGTCACGTTTACAAAAAGTCACGATTTTTTTCGATATTTTATGACTTTGAACGAAAAATTAACTACCTCCCCAAGGGTGTACCAATTTTATATTTATCATTGAGAACAATTTCCACATTATGTTTGCGATGCTCAAATATTTTTTTGGTACATGCCTGGGGAGGTATTTAAAATAACAAATATCTTCTGAATTTGTAACCACATTTCACGATTTTGGTGAGATTTTGACGTTGCCCAGCGTAACGTTAGCGTCGAGACCGACTACAAGATTGCGGAAGTAAATGGATGCTGAATTAAAAGACAATAACATGAAAAATGACTTGACTTATGTTTGTTAATAAAATTAGATAATAATAATGAAAAAAATGTATTTTGAAAAATGACAAAAATATCCATGGTAACAACTCCTAGATTTTGCAATCTCCTAGGCCCGAGTCTCATGCGCTACATTGTACGTTAGTCTAAACTCGCATAGAAGATCTTGCAAGTTTCAGCCTACATTTGAAGTATGTATACGTAGAAGAGCTGTCAACACATCTGCACATCTTGTAGAAGTTGTCTACTTCTTTAACAGGTATGTAACAATATTATGTAGAAGATATCCATGTTGTGTATTCGCGACATTGTCGTGATTTGTTTACGTTTGTGCATATGAGCAGACGTCAGATCTGACTTCGAAAAAATAGTCATTGTAGATATTCCTAGTGTTTTGATAAGTATGCAGTAAGTAAAAATACAATAACAAGTATAAAAAATAAAATAAAACCTTTTCTTTTTTTGTTAGTAAACGGTATTTTCCATAATAACGTTGTCCGAGTCTGCGTCTAAAAATAGAATTTTGCAACCAAACCAAATGCAGGGATTTATCGTCAGAAAAAACATAATGGCAAAACTGTATTTGCTACAGTGTTGTTTTCAAAACATACACTAACATATAAAAATGAGAAAGTGTTCCTATATACGAGATATAAACTAAAGTGTCAATTCACACACCCATAATAAAATCAGTGTACATCCGAAGTGTGTTGTCACTGTGACGTAATCAGCCGCTGTAGTGTAATGGTGAAGGTGCGATGCTCTGAAGGTGTAGTTTTGCCGGGGCGAGTTCAAATCGCGGGCACACAACATATTATTTTTTATTCTTATTTTTTTCTATAACTTTCACCTCAATTATTCTCGATTTTAATAGTTATATTCATCAATAATGTACTGATAGAATTAATAATTATAAATATTAGAATATTTTCAGGACGTTATATCATGTTGCTACATGTATTTTTCCATATAAATATCCTTGCATTCTAATACAAACAATTATATTTGCATCGATAGTCTTGGTGTTACAAATATTTCTTTTGGAGATATTGTAACTCTTACATCGCGTCATTTTGCTGAATTGTTATCGACCAGGGGTAGTTTTTTTTCTATATATATTTTTTGCGTCGGACTTACTTTTGCTAGCATCAAATAATCAGCATATACGTGCAGAAACTAAAGTGTTAATCTTATGGGCTAGGGTATAATTTCTCTCATTTATGCTATTATAAAATTAATACGATGAAAAATCTTACCATGCATATTTTCTTTTGAAGAATCCCAGTAACATAACGATCCTGAGGACCTGAATTCAAATATTTTTATGGATACATTTGATTCAGAAATTAAACGTAAGTCTTCTGCTTTGTAAGTTTCGTCAGCACAATGAATCGAACATTATTATATTGTGGCTATTTGATATTTTTGACCTAGCTTCATTTTTGGCTGCAGTTAGTTTATTGGCTTGTATATTTCGGGAGTACTCTTGTTATAATGGCACATCCCTGAATAACTAAATGAAGTATATACATGTACATGCTTACATGTATATATAAACGTGATTATATGCTCCAGATATACTGTATAGCCAGTATCAATGCTACATGTACTGTTACCAAAAACAAATTACGGGAAACATACGAAACACTGGCTTGATATATATTTTTTTTAAAACAGATTGACACTGGCATAATATACATTAGCTACTCTTTAAAATAAAGTTTTGTAAAAATCAGATTTTTCACCGAACTTAAGAATTAATAGATTATTTATTTTCATTATTTTCATTCTTTAAGGTTTACTAGTGACGTAATAGGAGACAGAGAGTAGCGAGAAAATGCCTGGAGATTCTTGAAGTTACATGTAAGTGTTTTAGGAAGTTCCTGAATTAATCTTATTTCTATGCTTCAAATTGTTAAGTAACAGAAATCTGAAATACTTGGAGGAGAATTCTCTCATTATCATGTTTATTTCCGTTTCTACTACAATATTTTATTTTAAAAAAGGTGACTGATATATGTATTGTAATAAAAACAGGTTTTTTTTCTATTATACATGTGTTTAATGTAATTGTCACTGTCTGTCTCCCACCAATTGTTTGTCCAGTCTTTCCTTGTTGGCTATTTATGAAGAACAATGATAAACATTTTCGATTACTTCATATGAGTCCAGCTACCAGCTTCTAAAATAGCTATTATTTTATTATTTCATACAGTATATACTGTATAATAAAGCAATTATTGACTTCTAGTAAAGTAATACAAATATTTAACACCCAGTCAAAGCAATGCTCATATCTGACTCGGGTCCCTGTTAACACATCAATTTACATGTTTGATAAATCATTGTAATAACATTATGAAGATCAGTATTGCATGATACACTGTATAAACAACAAGTGATGGATACAATGTTTCATATTTATTCAACATACAATAAGTAAATGCCCAGACGCCCTTTAGTTTCTGATGTTTGGGACATATTTTAATATAGTTAGTATCTATTTGTTTAGGATGCCTGGAAAGGGAGAATTTCGGTGTGTTGTTTGTTCTAAGAGAACAAAACCTGGGGACAGGCGCTTCACTAAAGGCAAGGAAAACTCTTCACTAAGAAAATATTTGTTGAAAACATATATGATACAAACAAAAGAAGAAGATGTCATTTGTGGAAAGTGTCGTATGTCATGTCATCGCTCAATACTACAGCGTCGTACACACATCGCTCAACACCACTCTTCAGTTGAAGCCCCTTGTAATAAATCAACAAAGAACATCCTTTCATCGCCGCGGAATATTACACTTTCAATCCCATCCACTGGAAGTAGCCACAAAAAATGTTTTGTATGCAATACTTACCCAAAGAAACTGGTGGTAATATCTCGTGACGCGAAATACCTCTTCCTGCGAAAAGGGGTTTTAGTTCCGTTCGGAGCAAGATGTTGTAGTCATCATATCGAGGATGGTCTATTGCAAAATGATGCTTGTGAAAACATTGCTATAAAAAGTGACCTATCTTCTCTTAATCGTACTGAAATAGTGGCATTGATTTCTAAGATTAGAGATGTAGCAAATACACAGCAAAGCAAACGCATTGACTTTGACTCACCGCATGCCCTTTCGAATGAAGATTTCATTACACTAACTGGACTATGTACACAGCATTTTAACGATTTGTGTACTCACTGTGCTGGTTCTGTGCGATCTTCAAAGAATAGGAGCATTAAATCTTGTGTCGGCATCTTTCTTACTAAACTAAAAAGTGGCATGTCAAATAAAGTCCTATCAACAGTTTTTAACATTGGAAAAGATTCTATTCGACGTGCAGTAACATCGGCAAGAGTTGCACTAGCGAAAGACTTTGTTCCATCAAATTTGGGATTTCAGCATGTTAGTCGACAAGATGTTATACTGAAACACACAAGACCACTCGCCCAAACATTGTTTGGAGGACTTATGGAACCAGCCATTCTTGTAATTGATGGCACCTACATTTATATACAAAAGAGTGGCCAATTTATGTTCCAAAGGAGGAGTTACAGCATGCATAAGCACCGGCCGTTGGTAAAACCTATGATGTTTGTCACCACAACAGGTTACATAGTGTCCGTGTTAGGTCCCTATTTTGCCGATTCCAAAAACAATGATGCCAGCATCCTGAATCAGATTTTAAATTCCAACATTCAAGAAATCAAGGAGTGGATTCAGGAAAATGATGTGTTTGTGGTTGACAGAGGCTTTAGAGATTCCATGGACCTCCTACAACAGCTAGGAATACAAACAGAGATGCCTTCTTTTTCCAAGCAAAGGAAACAGCACACTACCGGAGAAAGCAACGCTTCCAGGCTTGTTACTAAAATAAGGTAAGGTCTCTCTTTGTTCTGAGTAACATTTTACTAACTTTACCAATTGCTTTTACAACATATTTATAACTTATTTGTATTAATATATCATTAAAATGGTTAAAGGTAATTCCCAGTGAGAATTAGATACTTTCGATTTTATAAGTTGAACTGCATAAACCTGTCCATTTAGAAGATGTCGAAATTGAAAACAAAATTTATTTGATATAGTTACCATCATATGCATTTGAATACTGCATTTATTCACATTCAAAATGCATCTATTTACTATTTTTCAGATGGGTCGTTGAGGCTGTGAATGGACGGTTAAAAACCTGGAAATATTTGGATCGTGTGTTGCCAAACTCACAGATTCCATACATAGGCGATATTGTCAGGATTGTGTGTGCAATCTTCAACAAGTTCGGTACACCAATAAGCACGGGGATGCAGAGCAAGATCAACTGCTAGGATCGAAAATGTTGCATTTGTCACGGAAGCAGAATTCTCTTTGGGAGAGAATTGAACGAGAAGGCCTTTTCAATCGACCTAGTAAGTGGCAGAAGATGGAGACCACAACTGATATCATATTTCCTGTTCTGACAGAAGAAGACCTGCGGAATTTGACACTGGGAGTGTATCAGCTCAAACTGGCACGGTCCTACACACAGGAACATATGAGCGAAACGGGAGGATATGAAGTATCTATCTGTAAAGTAGATGCTAATCTGATCAATGCCAAGATACAGAGCCGACATTTTTCCTCAAAACTTTACCAATTGTGGGTATCATTTGATGATTGTAATGTGCAAGGATGGTACTGTACATGCCGTGCTGGGGCGAGGGTGGTTGGGACTTGCTCCCATGTTGCATCCATCTTATGGTATATGGGATTTGCACGTCATTTAGACAAGTCCTTTGACTTTAGTAAGGACTGGACACAATATTTACAAGATGCCAGTTATACACCAGACCCAATCAGTATTGATGAGAGTGATGATGAAGGTAACACGGAGGAATAAAACAGCACAGCTTTACCGATGTAGCCATGTAAATTACATATAAATTTCGCAATCTCCAAAAATGTAAATACAAATGCACGATGGTCACTTGATCGACTGAGGAATTGGCTTTAATCTCGAATGACAATGTATTTTGTTAGTGCATAATGTTTATTTGAAATAACTTTTAACTTTTGTAAGAATCATTAACTGTAACATGTTTGATTTCATATCCTTTTCAAATTAACCAAGAATATAAAGATAACCGTGTACGGAAGTATTGACAAATTGATGTACTGATTATTGCATGTACCGTTGCTATGGTGAAATATTTAGTTGCTATGGTAAGACATGGTTACTGTGGAATACCACCTATATGCTCTATTGTATCATCATATTTACATTTTTAAGATGTATCATAATCTAAACAGCCCTTGAGTATTATCATCAATTTTCTGTGTCCATTATTGTATTTATTACAATCCGTTGCTATGGAGAGAGTTTGGTTGCTATTGTGTTGCTAGGAAATCTTAAACATGTAATATATGATGGTTGATCACAAATATGATATGATTTTTAAATCATACCATTGATATGTAAAAATTGATTAAATATTTTCACCAAATAATAAAAAAAACAGTGAAATATCACTAAAATGTGCAAATAGACGGTAAAGAGTAGGTTGGTTTCCAGGCCCGTTGCTAGGCAACGCATTGTCAGAATTATTGAAAACTTGTTTTTTTATCAATGTCATATGTCCATGTTTGCATGATATAAAAATTAAGAAAATCTATGCTG